TTATTTATTTATTTATTTTGCATGAGCATAATGAAATGTTCTGGGATCCCCATTATTCTCAATGTTAACCATAATTTGTGATGATCCACCCAGGTTAGGTTACAGGTTACAGGTTAGAGGCGAGGTTAGGTTAGGTTGAGTACAAATAGTTGACACCACAGAGCACAATTCTTCCTGGGATAGGTTTTGAAGAGTTTATGTCTCTGGGTTGTTCCTTACTTCCCATGAGACCTCTCCCTCTACAAATATATTTTTTAAAAAATATTTCTTCATTGTCCTTACTCTGGACTCTCTCATCTTACCCTGTTAAGTGTAGTTGGTTTCTAAACTAATTTTAGCAACTCCAGGGGAGGTGCCTGTGGGGTAATTGTTTGCCCTGGAGTCTGGTAGATGCAAGCTTTGGAACCTGCTGGAAAGAGATGTTTAGGGTCACTCTTTACAGCCCCCTTTGAAAGAAGCTCCGGCTCAAAGAACTTCTTTTCTATCAGAAAGGTCTTCAAGGTCTACTGTGGACCAGTGAGTCCAGAGAGATCCGCATTAATAGGAAAGGAGCGGCTGGAAAACCATGATTTTTATACCAGTGGGGTTACAGGTCCCCAAAAATGATTTATTAGTGGTTGAAGACTTCTCTGGCAGCGCTTATCCCAGGCAGGCAAGCAGGAAAGCAGGAGCCAAGAGAAGAGTCCCTGTCACTGCCTTGATTATAGATGGCATTGTCTCTCCTCGCCCCTCCTCCCCCAGCCTGCTTCGCCCAGTCTCTAATTGCATCCTTTAATGATTTGACCAATTAAAGCCTGAAGTTCAACTTCTAGGGGAACGGATGAGAAATTAGAGGTTGGCATGCAAACTTCGATGTGGATGCACTTCTTCCAAGGTTACACACCTCTATTAAGCCAGTCGGTGATTTGAAAGGCAGCGTAATGGGCGATGCTAATAAAATAAGCCCGGGAACATTTTCAGCGGCTCCCAGGTGAATATGAAGGAGGACAAAACATAGAAAGCAAAGGTAGATGCGTGCAACCAGAACGTAGCGTATTCTTCACCCCTCCCCAACTGCACAGTTCCCGGGGCCACATGGCTTCGTTCGTGTGAGATGCAGTAATTGCTTTGTCAGGGTTTGGGAGAAGCAAAGTGCTTCCATCGCCCTGCTTCCTTTGCCCTCATCTAGACAACGCAGGGCTGCTGGTTGCCATGGCGGTGAGGCAGGAGCTGTGCTTTGCTTCCACACATGCAGTTCTGACGCTGCTGGGGGAGCCCCAGGGGATGTGTGGGAGCCGAGCAAAGCAGCAGGGGCTCCTGATGAAGGACTGGAGAGCAGGCCTGGTTCCACCCTGCAACGTGTGGAGGGAAGAGGGAGAAAGAACAGCTCCATGGCTGCGGCAGGATGTGAACGTTATCATTTTGGATGACTGGCAGCCTTAGGAATCTCATTACCCTCATCCCCTGGATTTTAGCCACCATGAACAACCCTAGAAATTCAGCTTCCTGAACAACCTATGCTATGCATCTCGTACCTCGCGCCTCCCTGGGTCATTCTGCCAACCTTTTCACACCTGTGGCCAACTCCTAATCATCTTTATGTTTGACCACGGTGGTGGAGGGCGGTTTCCGTGCCAGAGTCCCTGGATGGGGAAGGGGGGATGTGGTGGAAATACTTAAGGCTCTTGACCGGTAACTGAAAGGTTGAAAGTTTCAGCCCATCTATTCTGAGGCAACGTGGAAGAAAGGCTTGGCAACTACTTCCCCCCAAAGTCAATCGTTAGAAACCCTACGGAGTACTCAGACACACAGAAACCTACCAGGCATTGAATCCAACCTGCCAGGAACTGCCAGGTGTCAAGATGACCCAGGGAATTAAGATGAAAATCAGCCCTCATGCAGATCTGTCTGCCCAAATGCACTCCATTGCAGGAAATGTGACATTTGACCTTACAGACAAGAAGAGACTAAGACTCAGACCAGGCAAGGCCAAGGTCAGCATGGAGCGGGCCAGGGAATGAGTATTCAGTATCCTGAATATAATGATCTCTTATCCGAGGAGTGCAGTGAAAAGGGAGAGATAGAGCATTTCAGACAGAGAGTCATAGCAAAAACACAGACTACCAATGGAGTGCTGGAAGCTCTGTGGTCCTCGTGGTAAAAAGCTGCGCTGCAAATCCCAAAGGCACGTGATTTGAACCGACCAGGTGCTCCATGAGAGAAAGATGGGTAGTCTCCTCTTTTGCCTCTGAAAACCCACCGGAGGGTCAACTATGAGTTGATTTCAACTCAACAACAACAGCACCACCACCAACTGGCAGCTGTGGTGGCCTCGTTCATAGGGAGCTGTACTGCTTACCCCAGGGATGGTCCTCTCAGGTGGCTTCACTCCACCAGCGACTCTGTAGAAGAAAGATGAGCAGCCTCCTTCCTTAACAACTTACAGCCCCAGAAACCCAAGGGAGCTTCAGCTATGAATTGGTACCACACCCACCATGAGAATTGGTACCACACCCACCATGAGAATTGGTACTAGTAGCTAGAAGTCTCTGTAGTGTGAACAAGTGCTTATGCATTCAATTGCATGAAGAAAGACCAGTTGCTCTACTCCATCCAGAGATACTTAGAGGAAAGCCATAGAGAGGTACTTCTAAAAAACAAAACAAACCAACCAACCAGTGGACACTTTGTGCACACATCTCAGTTTAATACTGTGATTCACAGTCAACTACTGGCTACTGGTCAACCAGCAGCTGGTCATTGCCTGAGGGCAAAAGAAAACCCCTGTGATAAGAGATGGGATTGGAGCAGCAGTTAGGGCTCGATCAGTGGATCCCATTGGCCATGCCAAGTTTTGATGCCATCCTATTTGTGGTAGAAGCAAGAGAAAGACTTTGTTTCTATAGTTTTCCAAATATGTGCAATCCAGTAAACAAACTTGAATTAATAAATTGAAGTGGAAAAGTTGTTTGGATTCCACAGAAGAAAGGGATATAGGTAATTTAACTAAGAGCTCACAAGACGTCATATTAAAATTGTAAAACAATTGAGTCATCAGAGTCACCTGCCGCCCACACTACATTATCCTCCGGTTTCCAAACAGCTAAGATCAGACTAGCTGCTGAAAGTGATTGCTCCCAATCATGGTCCTCACCACAAAGAGGACCTTTATTACAGGCTACTCTGCAATCCCAAAGGCACACGTTTCGAGGCCACCAGCTGCTCTGTGGGAGAAGGATGGGCAATCTCTTCCCGTGCAATCTACTGCTTCTGAAAACCCGCCTGGAGGATCAGCTGTGGGTCTGTTCCAATTCTATGACACCTAACAATAATTTAGGATTACGTAAAACATGATATGTGTGCCCCAAAATCAAAGGACTTTTATTTACAGTGTATATTTTCCTTTTTCTTACATGTTCTGATTGCTTCTTCTACTCCCCTGGTCTATAATAGCTTTGTGCCTTTTCCTTAGAATCTAATTCTGCCTTAAAGCTCGTGGTATGGTGATACTATGCATTCTGCCACTTTACTGTTCTGTATATGTGGATTCATTTTTATTTAGGAATTAAGGACGTGGTAAGAAGCTGCACTGCAATCCCCAAACCCCCTGGTTCGAATCCACCAGCTGCTCCTGAGAAGAAAGGTAAGCAATCTACTCCTATGCAATTTAGCTGCCTATAAAAACCTGCTGGAGGGTCAGCTATGGGTCAGTGCTAACTTGACAGCACACAACAACAATAACAAGGTTGGAAAGGCAGCCCAGGGATGCCATCAACTCCTCCGATAAGTCTACCAAACAACAACTGGAACTCTCCTTGGATACTAGTTTTAGAGGACTCTGAGTCTAAAAAAAAACTGAGATGATTTTCAATGTTTGGGAAAGTCTTTGTGTCTGAGCTGCACTTTCCTTCCCTGTGTCTTCAGTCCTTCCAGTATTCACTCATTCATCAAAGGCCGTCAGCACCTCTAAGCCCTCAGCACCACCTTAGACCCTGACAGACCAGGATGAATGGGAGCTTGTTCTCTGCCCTTCGTCCCTCCGCTAGATTTCTTCAGAACGAGCTTCCTTCTCACCTTTACTTTTCCAACCTCCACAAAGCTCTTTTGCAAAGTGTCTCCCAAGTTAGTTTACTCCGGCCTTGAAAGCAATCACTTGCGAGCATCCTCCAGTCTTGTCTCGCTGCACACCCTGAGTTGTGTTAATTGGCACTCGGGCACCGTCTGTCATGTCTTGTTGCTTAATTAAATTCACATTTGTTTTGAGTGTTCTTTTTACTCTGCTATTTTTTATGCATGAGAGGGTAAAAACAAATGAGGAGGGCATTTTATAGGGAAATTGGCTGTGGGAAACAGTCCTGAGTCATAACTCTTCATCCTTCTGATAGCCTTTTTTATTTCTATGTCTTTGTTTTCCAACCAAACTGCAAAGCCATTGACTGTTGCCCCTCTTTTTTTCTCTTCCTCATAAAGTTTAACCTTGACTCCTGATACTAATTTCTGGTGTCTTTGTCTCGAATTGGCAGTATCATGACAATAGTCTTTTATAAAGCTGTAGTGCTTTGGAACTTTCTCACGATTCTTTGCTCTCCTCTCTCTCAGAGCTGTTTGCATGATCTTTCCATTTCTGTCTTACCATTCGTGGTACCGTGGGCGATCATTTTCGTAGAACTGATGCGTGAGATTGGAGCATAGGCCAAGTCGATTTCCTGATCCAGTTGTGTTGGACGACAGTGTGTGTTCTCCAGTAGGCATTTATCATTGTAAATCAACAGCCCTGATCTTCACAAACCTACATAGAGTTTCATCAACATTTCCTTGTCAACTTGGTGGCTTGGTAGAGAGAATCCAGTGTGAGGAGAAATGAGGAATTTATTTTTAAAGCCTATTTAGATGGGGTTTATGTTTAGATGGATGACAAGGGTTTTTGTAATTATCTGAGGGAGGAGACTTTGCAGCAGGGCCTTAAAACGAAACTAGAGAATTTAGGATGAGATGTTGGGAAATGAATAATGAGCACTTACTGGCATTGACAGCTATCCCATAGGCTATGAGTTTATGGAATTTGAGATTTTGGTCCAATTGTCTTCCCCATGGGCCACGGCAGCACTAGAAAGAGAAAAAAAGAAGAGCCTGATTGGAGTGGCTGTTAGAACAGTGACCATGTCACAGACATGTCCCAGGAGCAGGGCTCAGGTGGGACTGTGTGCCAAAGCTAGCGATCAGGCGCACCTACCGCTGCCACCAGATCAATTCAGACTCTTAGCGACGCCATCGGGACAGAGTGGAACTGCCTCGTTGGGCTTCCATGGTGCCATCTTTACAGAGGCAGACCACAACACTCCTGTGGAGTGAACTGGTGGGCTCAAACCACTGACCGCTGCAGTTAGCAATGGAACCCTTAGCCACTGTAGCACCAGGAATCCATGGTGACATGGTGACTCATTCATCAAACATGAAAGCAAAGGCCATCAGCTGCTGTGCTGAAACTCGAGATCAATAAAAGCAATTGAGTTGGTAGTCCTCTTGCTCAAGACTCTTCAAAGCCCTGCTGATACCTATGCTTCAGCTTTTTTAGTTAGAAAAGGGGAGCAAGAACCACCCTCCTCCCCCTCCATGTGGGTTAAGTCTATCAAATATTCCTCATTATACGAAGGAAGGCACGACAGGCACCCATGGAATCATGGGACGGCATCCTGGGAAGGTTAACCGGCTCTCTGCCAATAGTAATTGGATCACTGGGCCGTTGCCTTCCAAGAAAGCAGCCGCTGAAAAGTCTACAGAGCATAGTTCCCTTCTGACATATCATGAAGTCATTGTGGGTTATAATCAACTCAATGGCAGATGGTGTATAGACATCTATATCTCTGTAGTCATAACATTAGGGTGATGAATGTGTGGTGAGCGATTTCTCCTGGTAATGGTTATTGGAGGTCTCATTTTCTGTACTGGGTATTACTCTCCTTAGGAAGAAGTAAAGATAAATACCCAACATAGTAATTGCCAACATGATGAGGATATTTCTGGGAGAGGTTAGTATTCACACAGACGAGCTGCCCACTGTAACTGTACTTCCAGGCACTCAGAGATGTTTCTTGAGTGGCACTTGACACTCCCTTGTTTTCTTTGAATCCTACATGGTTACAATGCTTGGTTTTTCACAAGTCAAGCCTATGTAATTAACTCTGCTTTTCATATGGACCAAATACACCTGGGAAAGGTTCAACTTTGAGGCTAATGGTAGATGAGAATCCACTGGCTGTGAATCAAGAGTCGATCAGATGGACTAATTTCTGAGTTCCAGTTTCAGACCCTGCCTCCTCTCTTACAAAGAAACAAACCTCTCTTACCATAGGGGTATTTGGGATTTCATAATAAAGTCTATCTTTGTTTCCAGGGCCACCTGTCTTCGTAAGTCAGAACAACTGAAATTGCTCCAAATATTTTAGTACTTACAGCATGAGTGCCTCTCAGGAACGAAATAAGGTTTCGACTGATGGGTAACAGAATCAGCATGCAGTTAAAATTCAGACACACGGCGGATGCTCGGGCCCAGGCTAATGCTGACTGCCCACATGTGGAGAGACGAAAAGACTCGGTGAAAGGCAAGAAGTGGAGGCAAATGGAATGCAGTTAGTTTTCTGAAAATGTTAGTGAGTAGTTGCCGGCTCTACTTACACCCAGCATAACGCGTGTGTACAGAAAGGACTCCTCTTTTTCATACCACAGGAAAGTGTCGATAAACAGATAGAAATTCACTCCCAGCCACAGGAGCTACAGTCAGAGGGAGAGAGAACCAATCAATACCATCTTCAATCTTTTCCTCTTTTCAACATCACTGAGGTCATCTTCTGAGGTAAACCAAAGAGTCTCTCAATATTAATCACCACTACTCGGTCCATGTACTCTTCACAGATTTTTTTTTTTTTACAATAATTATAATGGTGAGAAATTGTTAACGTGAAAAGGTTTTAAACCCATGTGGGCCTACTTTTTGTAGTTTAATGACCAATATAAAACCTTTGTAACTAATGATGCCATCAGTTAGTTAACAGTGTCAGGGAAGAGGGGGGGAAAATATTTAAAACGAGCCAGAGAGTACTCCAGAGAAAGTGCAATTTCATAGTCTAATTCAAAGATTCCATTTGACTTAGAGAAGCATTCATACATTATGCAAAAAACAAACTACTTGACTTTGGAAATAATTAAAAAGGAACTCAACCAGAAGACAACTTTGCATGATTCCGTAAGGGTAAATTAAATATATCAACTGAATGTTTTCTAACAAATTTAGATTTTTAACCAGAGCAGCACTTCAAGCTATTGAACTTTCATGTGTAAGTCATCCTAATGCACACCCAGACACCAAAGACTGTTCAATCCATAGACTTAGAGTTCAGGGGAACAGCAAAAATGCTACTCACCACTATTATGATGGAGAAACTGTCATTCAAAAGCCAGCATCCCATTGTGTCACGGTGGCTTTTTGCCTCAGTGAATAATTCCTTCCAGTCACCTGAGCCGCGAGGTTCTGTGCTGGGGAAGGGCTTCTATATGAAATTATTTTGCCTTTTTGTCCTAGGAAGCACCTACTGGGAGTCATTCTTGAGGAATTTCTAATTACGGACTTCGTGCCAAAGGCACATCCCTGAGCTGACATACCTCCTGACCGAGGTAAGCGAGAGGCCAGGCTCTGCTTAATGACACTTTTCTTCAAAGCCTTCCGCGGAAAAGAAAGCTCATTTTATGAAATTATCCTCTTGTACTTTGTGCTCTGTTCGTCTCCCCCACGAGTGCAGTCAAGATGATAATGGGTCTTTATGTAAATTGGAGGAATATCCGATTTGTGGCAGCTTAATGCAACAAAACGCTGCGACACAAGTTGTATCGACTTGAGTTCTTTGTGCTTTGTGCTTCCCCCCCTTTATTAAAAAAAAACCCACTGTGCAAATCATAAACATTGTGACCATGTTAAATGATTTCTTATCATTGAAATGCATCCAACTTATAGGAATACCATTTCTCTCCATATGTTAAATATCCTTGAAACACAAATCTAGATATTAATCAGGACATACTAATTTTAAGTAAATGGTAAGTGTTGCTGTTAAATGACATTAAATCAGAGCCAACTCATAGCTGACCCACCAGCAGGTTTTCAGGGGCTGTAAATTGCACGGTAAGAGATTCTCTATCTTTCTACCTAGGGGTAGCTTGTGGATTCGAATTGCCCACCTTCAGGTTAGCAGTGCAACTCCTTAACCACCAGAGCTCCCTAAATGATAAGAAATATGCATCACACAATTATGAAGAAGGAAGTGAAAACAAAACAAAGCATCTAAAGAATTCAAAAAAGGGAAAACTGTTGTTGTTGTTATGTGCCATCAAGTTGCTTGTGACTCATAGCGACCTTATGTACAAGAGCCCTAAACGCCATCTATCCTGTGCCAACCTAGGCATCTCAAATGCACTCATTGCCACCACTCCAGTTTCAGAATCGATCCATCTCATCAAAGGTCTTCCTCTCCTGCGCCATCCCTCCACTCTCCTAAACATGATGTCCCTCTCCAAGGACCAGTCCCTCCTTGCAACATGCCCAAAGTATGTCAGATGAAGCTTCAGAATCCTTGACTCCAAGGAGCACTCTGGCTTCACCCTCTCCAGGATAAACCTGTTTGTTCTCCTAGCAGTCCATGGAATAGTCAACACTCTTCTCCAGCACCACAGCTCAAAGGCATCAATTCTCTTTCTATCATCCCTATTCACTGTCCAACTCTCTGATGCATAGCATGTAATTGCAAAGACTATAGCCAGGATCAGGTGCACCTTAGTCTCCAGCCTGACATCATTGCTCTGCAGTACTCTTGAGAGGTCCCTCACAGCTGATTTTCCCAATGCAATTCATCTCTTGATTTCCTAGCTTCTGTTACCAAGAGTGTTGATTGTGAAGCCAAGTAAACTAAAACTGTTAACTATCTCAATCTCTTCACCATCCATACTGATGCTGCCAAGTTGGCCCAGTGGTGAGAATCTTTGTTTTCTTGGTGTTGAGCTTCAATCCATATAGGAGGCTGCAGTCTGCAGCAAGCACTTCAGGTGCTCCTCAGTTTCGGCGAGCAGGATTGTGTCATCTGCGTAACGCAGGTTGTTGATGACTCTTCTACCAATCCTGATGCCACATTCCTCCTCATACAGCCCAGCCTCTTGGATGATCTGTTCTGTATACAGATTGAAAAGGTATGGAGACAGAATACATCCCTGACAGACCTTCTTCTTGATTTTGAACCATCCAGTGTCTCCCTGCTCTGTTCTGACAAAATCTAAAATTGTGGACTAAAGGATAGGATAGAATTGTGTGTGCGGGGATTGGTGGAGTCGACGATTTTTTTTCTGAACCCCACCCGGCCACACTCATGAGAAGAGTGAAGATGTGTTTTAATTTCACTCTGTAGGGATCCTGAGGGCAAGGGGCGGGGGGCTGCTCTGCTGCCTGGTCTCCTCCTGCTTCTCTGAGTTCATTTGTGTGAGTGGAAATAGTTTTACTGAAGGACTATGACAACAAGTCCTGTCAGCAAAGATGTCCTCACTGAAGTGATCTTCTGGCTAGTTCTGGCCCAAGCACTTCATTTATCAATTTTAAGGTAATTTAAGAAACTTGTGTCTTTTGGCTAATTGCCTGACTACCTACCTTTTAATCCTTGCATGCAGTGGATCTCCTCAGTTAACCTGATTTTTTTTTAAGAAAACAACAGCATGCAATCAACAAAATAGTAATTGCAATATTTATGGCTGTGTATTTACCCAGGCACTAAATGCATTCTGGTAAATATCCTAGAGGGAATTGCACAGCTAACCCAGAGGCCACACCTCTTGGGCCATTCAATTCCACCAATGGCTCCTTGGAAGAAAGGTGGGTAGTCACTTCCTGTATGATTTATCGCCTCTGAAAACCCACTGGAGCGTCAGCTAGAAGTTGATTCTTACCTGACTACAATGAGTTTGAGATATCCAGGCATTAGGTTAAAAATATTTCAACACCCCCCCCCAAAACCAAACAAGCAAACAAAACAAAAACATTTCAATTATGTCTGTTAAGCCATACGTTGACCCTAGGAAGCACTGTAAGCCCTGTGATAAAAATGTGGAGACAAGTGTGTGTCATCCGAGTGGTTAGTACTTGAGACCAATTCTCTTCAGTTTTAAAATCTCTAAGTCTACTGTCAGAGCTATCTTTAAAATACTGAAGAGCAAATATGTCAGTCTGGAGAATAAGATGAGCCCAGGCCAGGCCATGGTCTTTGCAATTACTTGCTATGCAGCAGAAAGAAGGACAATGGCTAGAAATGATAGAAGGAGAATTGATGCCTTTGAGCTGTGATGTTGGAGAAGAGTATTGAATATACCACGGACTGCTAGGAGAACAAACAGGTTTTTCCCTAGAGAGGGTGAAATCAGGTTGCTCCTTGGAAGCCAGGATTCTGAAGCTTCATCTGACATACTTTGGGAGGGCCTTCATGCTTGGGAGGGTGGAGGGACAGCACAAGAGAGGAAGACCCTTGATGAGATGGATTGACTCAGTCATTGGGGTAATGGAGGTGGGTGTGTCAGAGACAATGAGGTTGGCTCTGGATAGAGCAGAGGTCAGAGCTGTAGTACATAGTGACATAGTGACTCACTATGAGTCACAAGTGACCAGAAGGCATGCAACAACATCAACAACAATAACATGCTGCCTTTTTCATAAATGGTAATATTTATGTCTCAAATATGCTTGAAATATGGATAAAATTGCATTTTTATGAACTAAACACATTAGATTACAGGACATAATTGGTTAACAATGGAATTTATTCCTGTGGTGATTAAACACACCATCTATTTGCATATAATGCTGATGAATTGTAGTCAAATAAAGAAATGCTCTAATATTGAACTCACTCACTTCCATTGTTCACGGATTGCTGTGAATCCCACAGGATATTGACAGTCTTTCTCCCACAGAGCTGCTGGTGGACTTGAACTGGCTGCCTTAGGGTTGTCAGTGTTACTTACACTTTACCCCCTAGGCCACCAGTGCTCCCTATAGAAAGAACTGAGGCTTTGATATTATAGGTTAATATTTTTATAAATGGGTGAACTTTCTACTTTCCTTCAAGCTCTGACTGTGAGTTACTTCAGATGAGCCTCAGCTTCCACATTTGTTGAATGGAGCTAATTAAAATGCTAAGTTCAGAGAGTCAAGACTTTTCTTTCTTCATCTTCACTTTCCCCAGTACACACATATACACATTCACACGTGCATTCCTATGGAAGCAAGATTGTTTCATTTGAGAAGAAGTCTAAGATTTACCAGTAAAAGTTTTGTAAATCTTTTTGTCTTTATAAAAACAGGCACCATTCACAGGGGTTTTTCTCTCTAGAAAGATATCAAAGTCTAGGCTTCTTGACAGCATTAACCCGAGATTACAGTGCAGTTAGTGAAATATCTTTAGTAGGGCCTTTAATGGTGAGCAATATAAAGATGTTATATCTTCATTTTTAAGCCAATAATCTCCCATCATGAAATGATTTGTTATTTCTGAAGTGTTTTGGATTTGCATATCTTTGAGGTCTTATTCTGTTGGGTTATAAAAATTAATTCAGAAAGCATCCACCTAGAATTCAGTATCATCTCTTCCATGTTAGATTCAGTGCATCTTAGAGAGCGCTGAAATTTCCCATCCTTCTGCACTCTTCACACAGTGTTCAGATGAGAGATTTATATGTTGAGTTTTGCCCATTCTTGTGACAATTGATTGTTATATTTACAGTGTCAAAGTAACAATATAAGAGTTTAGGCTTAAAAAGCCACCTTTGCATACGCTATTTGTATTTCTCAAGTACAACTTGTATAACCCCCAGTTTCAATCTGTAAAGATGTGGTGTGTTAAAGTATCACTATTACTTATTTATAGCACAGAAAAACGAGTCATGGTTGTATTATGAAATTTATACAGCTCACAGTTTAGCTTAACTTTTTCTTCCTAGAGTTTCTTCTCTGTAGAACTTGGCTTGACTTTTCAGTTCACTCATATGGGATTAATATGGGAGCTCCAAATTACATTCAAATTCATTCAGAGTTCAGCAGTGTTGTGCAGTTGACGGACGCATCTTTACTTCTCAGCTTTTCAATTCTCACATCTATTGTAAGACACTGCTGGTTGCTTTATGCTATTAGACTCAGAGTTTATAAGACTCAAGGGACCATTTCTTTTATTACACACCAATGTCCAAGTCAACTAAGACTATTGGCTCCTCCCCAGAAGATCTCATATTGTGATCGTCCTTATTTGTCAATTTACCCAGAAAAAATTGGAGGATGCAGATCTTACCCAAGAACAGTGCTTCTGTTTTTATGACCACAAGTCGGTGCCAACAACAGTATTAATCAAGACCACCCCAAGTCCTTTCCCAGTAACGGTTGATTATT